CATGTGGTCACCTCCGGGGCAGGCGGGAATCGAACTCATGCGGAAGTGGTTTCAGCTTCTTAGTGCTGTGCTTTAACCCGCTGCGCCACAAGGGAGGGCCCAGTTCAGGATATATTTTACACCTGTAAACAATTTGTTCTTTTCTCTTACTCATCTGTCAAATGTTAATTTGATCGCTCAAGTACCCAAGTAGGGGGAAATTTCATCTCTGCCAGGACACCCCTGGTGGGTGTATTTTAGAAACTATAGTACAATATCAAAACCAGGAACGTGACACTGATACAACAACAGTGTGGAGTTCTATGTCCATTTGATTTTGTGGAGATTTGCATAAGCATCACCATAATCAATATCCAGAACATTTTCATCACCGCAAAGCTCTCTCCAGTTACCCAGACAGACACAGTCTCCTTCCCCACCATCTCAAATTCCAGGCAACCATTAACCTTTTCTCCACGTGCATGAGTTTTAGAATCATATTGCTTATTGCAGGGAGAAATTAAAACCATTATTTATTCATTCATGTATATCATTTATTTATTCATGTTTGTGTAGAAAGATAGGTCTTCTACAGCTACATGAAATCCCATATTCATCATCAACAAATATGCTCAATAATATTCTGAGTTGCGAATATAGCTCTTGAGTTTCAAAAATAACAATTTTGCAGATCACTTGGAAATCAAAAGTCCCAATGTAACCTGGCCTCATTTACATTTGAAACTATCTTTTTGAGTAAACTTTTTAACCATAAACTTCAATGGTAGAAAAGGACTGATTTAGACAGTGGAAAATCTCTAGGGTAGTTTTAACAATGATTAGCATTATTCTTAGTAAGAAAATTGCAAAACAAGGCTTTTTCCTAAGACTCCAAAGATTTTACATGTTGAAATAAGGAATTATTTAGGTGACATTTGTCCTCACCCAGAGGAAAAAAATCTCCTGCCTCTTAGGCACTTTTTTAAAGAAAGGGGCAGTCAATCTAGGGTGAGTTTTCCTTCCCTCCCAAAGTTCTCACTTTTCGTAAAGGTGCATAGTCCTTGCAAACTAGAATTCTCAAAAGGCACTAATGAGTGCTCAACTTGCATTTCAAAACATTCTATCAATATCTATCACTCTAGGAATTTAAAATATGCAAATATTTCATTTATCATACCTCTTTTTGAAGATTTGGATTTGCCCTGAAAGAAATATCAGCTTGGGTCTCTCTCTCTCTCAAGAGCACATGCACATAACCACACACACAGGCACACTCGCACACAGGAGTAAATGATGCCATATGAAGAAAGAAGAAAAACCATATTCTTTGCTGTGTTGCCAATACACACCCCAGAAGAAAGCTGACTTATCCACTGGGGTACAGGCGCAATCTAGAGACCCATTTCCTCCCAGGTCTTGTTAGCATTTATCATTACTATTAACGTTGAGTAAACTTTTACAGTATAATATGTAGACAGTAAAGTGTACACTTTTTTTTTTTAAGATTCGTTTATTTATGCATACAGACCTGGTGTACAAGCCAGAGGGGCAGGGGCAGTGAGAGGATTCACCAGAGACAGAGTGGGGAGCAGAACAGGCTGACTGACGAAGTACACTGCTGAGGGGAGCAGCGGGCGGGTCAGATCACCACCGGGGTTAGGGCGCAAACTCATGTTCTAAGTGGCTTTAGCTCCTTAGTGTTGCGCTTCAACCTGCTGCATCACCAGGGAGGGCCCAAAGTGTTCACATTTTAGCATACAGTGCAAATAGACGTTTGCGAAGGGAGCATATTCACCAGTCAGATTAAGAAGGCTGTTGGCAGATCTCAGTTCCTCCCCGAATGGGCCTCCAGAGACTACTTGAGTGTTCTTATGACTTCGTAGAGCAAAAAGGAACTATTATTCCTCTTTATGTCCTGTTCTCCAAAGTCATATCTTCATTTCAGATTCATTCTTTTTGTTAGAAATGTGGGATTAAATCAAAGGGAGAAGAATTAGGCCCCACCTAATCCTGTGGGCAGATTTAAGTATATATCTGCAAAGAATCTATTTTCAAGTCGGTGGCATTCTGAGGTTTGAGTTAGACAAGAATTTGGGGATGAAGTCTATTTCTAATATCCTAGAACGAAAAAATAAATTTGGAGCAAGATGCATGAGACTTTTGGGAGGTAGTGAGAGATTTGAGGCACACCTGCAAATGTTTTACTCCTTATCCCATCTGCAAATTTGTTCTACCTAAAACAAACCATTTGAGTCTCATGTTCAGGAACACAATTTGATATGAGTTAGGACTGTAACTAGAGCTGCAAGCATCTGTTGAAGTCCCTCTACTTTCTGAAATGTCTGAGCTAACCAGAGACTAGAGGAGTAAGAAAAGGTGGGAGATGGTTTCCTCTTTCTGAAGTATTTTGTTGATACATTTCCCCAAAGAATCATTTTGTTGGGTCAGATATCTCATATGACCCATTCTTTTAAAAGAGCAATTTCAACTCCAGTAATAACTTCATAATTTGCAAATATATGGAAAGAAATAAAGCAGGAAGAGGGGAAGGAGGTGAAAGGAGAAGAAGAAAAGGGAAACAAGAAAAATTCAAGAGTGGAAAAATAACCAAGAGCTCTGTGAACTTGCCTTTGTGCCTGGGTGGTTGAAGTTATTAACACAAGGAGCCAAATATGCAGTAAAATGGAAGTGGAAAAACACCAGGCAGCACAGTATCACATCACTGAGTCAAAAATGATTCACATAAATGCCTGCAAATGTGGACAATATTCCTGGAGGAATATACAGACGGGCTGAACTAGGAAGGAAATTGAGTGGTAGGAGGAAAAGAATCTCCTATATAACTTTGAAATAGTTGACTTGTTCCATATGCACCCACTGGTATTCAAGGATTTGAATGGAAATGAAAGAAGAAGAGGAAGAACAGCGGACTATCCTAGTGGTTAAAGCAAACCTGTCCGCCATTTAGTAACTGTATTCTCTTTTGGACATCTGTGGTTCTGTCTGTCCAGTTCCATTCTCCCTTTTCTGATAACAGCTTTATCCCCATTCCCAAGCCAAGCGGTTTGAGGTCTTGATAGGGTAATGGGTGTGATCCCATTTGGGTCCATGAGATCCAGAATCAGAGTTTCTGCAGGAGTTACTGTTAAGGAGACCTCTTTCTCATTGTATGTGCTGAAGGGTCAGATATAATCATAGATGACTGATGGGCATCTTACCATGCAGGGAGGAGACTCTAACTGCAAAGGAAGCCAACCCAGAGGAAAATGGAACTCAATTCAGTTATACCTGACACACAGAATGTCCTTGAACCTTTCTTCTATGACCACCCCCCACTTTGCATATGCCAGTTTGAGTTGGGTTGTTGCCAAATAC